CCTAATCGTGGTGGTTGCCAGGTCGATTTGGCGCTTTGGAGAGCCTGAAAGTATGAAATGAATTCGACGAATGCATTACGATTTTCGCAAACCGCCTCAATATCTTGTTTATCGATCTATCGTGAATTCCACAGGAAACTACCTGGAGTTATTCGGTCCAAACATGATATCTGTACTTCAGCAACAGAGCAACAAGGAATAGTTTAACCCCCAAATTTTATCGGGATAAAGAAGAAAAACCAGAAGTCTGCAATGCATTAATCGCCGCAATTCACTCCATATTACTTAAACCAGTTGAGTCATATTGCACTTTTCCGGTGGATCATCTAAGAACAGACAACCGAACACATGGTTGAAAAATTCCGGATAATATTTGCATGCTCTGCGACAATCAGGTGAATAGTTTATTTCGAACACGACGGGTGAGATGCGATGCGTTGCCGGGAGGCCCTTCAGGCCGATATTCGCGTCGCCTTCACCGGAGCCATCCGAACTCCACTCGAGCATCAAATCGATCGCATAAAGCGCACGGGATTGTGGGGATGCTGTAATACCTTTTGGAGCCGGATGTGTACAGGCGGTAGTGAAAATGTCGACCAAGAGGCGAAAAATGTCCGCCTACAAAGGAAAAAAAGATACCGTGAAAAACAAAAAAACTGTTCGTGGAAGCCATATTTGTTTGCCTTTTCATGCAATCGTCAGTAATCAGTAAAAAAACTAATTATCCCTTAAAATATGAATTTTTCGCAAACTCAGGCATGGCTAATGATCCTCGGCGAATTCAGTTGCAGGCGGATGAAGGTTAAGAGCGTACCGATACGATAACGATAAAATAAAAGAATGTAGGACAAATAAAGAATGGCTGGAATCAGAAAATTGAGCTTTCGAACCTCCAAGTCATGCAAAATGGGAATAAAATCCGATCTGTGATGTTTACGTCGCATTTTCTTGTCCATTCAGTTTAAAACGATGTGCATTTATATGATGACAAGTTGAATACATATCTGATAGTGGTCGCCGAGGTTAGGTCGGTGCCCATTGTAATCCAGTGGTGAATTCAGTTTCGAGTACCGCAGACTACACGACGGATATTGTGACTGTCAGAGAAAAACCTAATTTTCCCGGAAAATTATCGCAGAATCAATGGAAACGGACTTCAACCAATCACCATCGGAGTAAATTGCAACGATATTTACGACGTTATTGAATTGATTGGGTTCAAAGTATCGGACAGAATACTGAAATCAGTGATCTATTCGCTCCATCGATGTCTCTCATTCTGTAAAAACCTAGGCTGTGCGCAACTCCATAAATATATAACACTCTTTTCAACACATTGGGATCAAATGATATTAGGAGTGTATTGAGAAATCGATGCGCCGTGTGTTGTTTTATTGTGAATGTTAGTTTTAATAATAATAGTGTTGATAATTCTCTACCGACATCGCTCTGTTATTAACACCATAACATTCACAACATAACACGCTTCTCCGTTATCTAACGTCGTTTTCACTGGTGCTTCCAATAAACGCTCGCACTGTTCTGTAATTGTCTTTTGGCTGGAATCGTTCAGAAAAGTCTCGTGGGACAAGATCCAATGATAGACTAGTAGACGCTACAATCGTGAAATTTCCATCGCGGTCAAAGAACACTGTGCTCGTTGGTCAGCGATGTGAACGGCTAAAATCGAGGATTTGACATCACGTGAAGATTTGGTCGATACAGCAGCGAGCTGCTCGAAATCCTGCTTGATGCTCACGAACAATGGTCTCCCGTAGAGGGGTCAGACGTCACCGTATGACGGAGAACGATAATTTTGTGACGAATTGGATCAAACGGATCCCGTGGTGGTTTGGGAAGACACTGCGAGATCCTGTCTTGAAAATTAGAATGACCAGTGACTCACTCCAAGATGATGGAATGCGCCCTTGTGACCTGATGCTACGCATTCAATAAGTGATATATTAATAGTAATACTAAGTAATATACGAGGTCATTTCCCACCCCACCCCCATCTTGAAAACGGTGAGAGGATGCCTGTCAAGACCGGCTGATTTTCCAAAAAGAAATATCGGACACACCTGCCTGGTCAGTGGTAAGAAACGCGTAACCAGTCATTCTTATACAACTTTGCTAGCCTGAACTATTTTCGCTTGGGCGACGAAGTGATTCCTTTATGACATACAGTGTCGGGGAAAGGAGAAATTGGGTTAGTTCCGTCGATAAAGCACGTGTGTTCACACAGAGCATTGACACAGGCGGACATTGGAATTTTGATATTGAGATTCATCTTTCACTATGATCCAGAAACATTGGTGGTGTAAGACTTCGGGCAGCCTACTGCCCTGGACTCCAAATGGACATGTTTCGAAGTAGCAGCTGAGGACGAGGCGACTGGTAGTTTTGCAAACAAGCGTGGTAATTCGAATACTTGTTTCATTATGGCTCTATGATGAAAACTGCAAATACAGGGAGGCTATTCAAGCGATGCGACCATGAACGTTGTTCTTGCATAGTCTTTTTGGCAGTTTGTTGGACCTATACAGTCTGACTTCTGCACCACTGGTACAATTAGACCACGCTGAACTTAGGATTCGAATTATACGGTGTATAAGTAACTAATGACAGAAAACTAGATAAATCGATTAACTCACCTGAATAGAGGACCATGCCACGCTGGGGTATTGTTGTTCAAACATTTGAATAAATTCATCACAGTTGATCTGAAGTCAAATACGTTTACAAAAATATATTAAATTTGATTCATTGATATATTTATATAGTAATATATAACAACTAAGAGTGACCACACTGTGAAGCTTTTCGATTCATCGACAAGGTTCCACGTGGTTTTTGTGAGCTTCGGCTCGACCTCCAGCCCACCATTATAATATGACTTCTATGCCGGGCAATGCTGATGCTACAGAAATAACAATAATAATAATTCAGGATGAGTGTGATTCGCCGATCAGTTCCCGGAGTCAGGTCACCGTCTCCATGACTGAATGAAAACCATATGTAACTAAAAAATGTATCCATCTCAATGCCTCTTACTCTAAGTCGTATAATGGAAAAGATACGGTTCCCACAAACAATGGAGACAATACGCAATTTGTAGGCCTCATAAACTGTTGACTGCATGCTGCGAATCCTAGCGGGAGAAAAAGGAGCGTCTTGTCTCCAAACAAAATAACCGTTAAGCTATTTATAGGGTTTTTAACTTTCATCCAAAGTGTCACCGCTTGAGGTCCAACACAGATACAAACAGCACGCACGACTGATTAAACCGAACAAAGACAAGGCATTTGTCAACTGCGTTCGTCACACACACAATTCGATCGTCATTCAAATACATTACAACAAATTCCGAAGATCAGCGATAGTTGCCCATAACAGAAGACAACACATATTATACCGTGTGAGTATGTGCATTTGAATGCATAACGCAGGAAGTGTTCAATTCAGTTAGACAGGGTTTTCAAGGAACATTGGTAGTGGATAAGTGTTCCACCTAGTTGAAGTGGGCTAACTACAAAAATTTCAATGTAAAGCTGCTTTTTCATACCCAGACTGTTCCTCATCTCTATTCTTTTTTTACTTATCGTATTCCTATCTGAATAATTTCAATTGGTACAGAAAACACAGTATTCTCGCGTTCAAAGTGACGGTGGAAATCATCACACACAGAGTACGGCAAAATTGTCGAGGTTGTAACGCATTTATACGGCATGAGAGCGGTACGCTTTTTAATCCGAACGGTCAATCAGTGATGGACTAACCATTCAAAAAACAGTTATCGTGAGATGGCTAGCGAAACGTGTAGAAAGATAAAGAATAATCACATGATAGATAGCTGAACCAGCATCCTGAGAAGTAACATCAACTAAATCATACAAGATTTATCGGATTCCATCATTCACGCTTGTCACATGGTGTCTCCTTGTCTGTTTTCCCACAGACTTATATATCACTTTTAATTTGATAAAACGGTGCAGTTCTGCAGTTCAGACCCAAACAAAAATCCAT